TGCTATTTGACAAAACATGCCATTTGACAAAACATGCCATTTGACAAAACATGCTATTTGACAAAACATGCCATTTGACAAAACATGCCATTTGACAAAACATGCTATTTGACAAAACATGCTATTTGACAAAACATGCCATTTGACAAAACATGCCATTTGACAAAACATGCCATTTGACAAAACATGCCATTTGACAAAACATGCTATTTCATTCAACAAAGACATATGCGATTGCGCGTTTTGTTATACCATTTGTCTTTAACATATACCATTTAGACACGCGAGGACATACGGTTTGACTTTTACACATTCCATTTCAAGTTTACATATGTCGTTTTAAGTTTACATATGTCGTTTCACGATTACATATGCCGTTTCACGATTACATTATTTTTGGTGGTAACGGCCGCCCATAGAAGTAGCGTAACAAATTATACATTGAGAGACACCAGTAGAAAATTAGCTTTAACTCAACCACGCACAAATTACCTGAAAAATAGTTTTAGCTATAGTGGTTCTGTGCTGTGGAACTCCCTTCCGGTTGAGTTGAGACAGTCTAACTCATTACGTAAATTCAAGTCAGACTGCAGCAACTTTATACATTAGTCAATAATTTTAGATTTTTATATTAATATATTTGCACGGCACTTATGGAAAACAGGTATTCTTGTAATATATAATTAGTATTAGTATAGTATAGTATGTATATACATAATTAGTATCTTAATTAACTTTTATATTCTGTAATCTGTAACTATATTGTATTCTCTTATCATCTTTTATGTAAAATCCTGATAAGTCTACCGTGGGTAAATAAAGTTCACAATCACAATCAATCTCAACTCTCACGCATTCGGCGTGAGTGTCACGCAATTTGCTTCACTCTCACGCTCTCACGCCACGTTTTGTAAATCTCACGCATATAGCAGTTTCATAGTATTTTTTCAATAATATAATATTGTATTCTTAAATGCACATTATTAATCATTATACGGATCGCGAATCGAATATATAATTGCGTGTTATTGTTCCTGCATATACGGCCCTGTAATATCTAAGTACTAGGTATATATTTGTGCTATAGAATATATTTAGTATAACATAACGATATAGTTCTTATTGGTGTTTTAGTGTGTGTGTGTGTGTTCCTTCTACACAACGTGTCCTATATATATATATTTAATTAGTTCCGACCGTATAGTCCTGGTGCCGGGTGAATGACATGACGTCATTACTATATCACTCCCCTTTTTTTTATCTAATTACCGACGAGGGAATTCCCTCGCCATATCGTTCTGGTTGCCTGACATTCCTTGTCGATCGTCTTGGCTCAGGGTTACCAGTGTCAACTCTGTCTCGTTCGGTCCTTTCCGCGTCATACGTTTCACTGTCATCGTCGTCGTCGACTTGAACATCAATCTTTGGCTTCGGTATTGGCTTGAAGTGTGATACATTGCGAGTTATAGTGTGTCCTGTCTGACTACGTGCTGTCACCGTGTTGTTGTTTCGCGAGATGACAATGTGGGGTGTTTCATTGAAATTAGGGGTGAGTTTGTTCCGTCTCTCTTGCTTCCACAAAACGTAGTCGCCAACTTTTATTGGGCGTTCTCTAACGTTTCTCTTTTCATCAGCGTAACGTTTGTTATATTGTTGTCTTTCACCTTCCTTTTCCCGAGCCTCGTTGTGACGGTTAACGAGATTGCGTTTTTGTAAAATAGGAAGTTTTCCTTGAACTTGGCGATTAAATAACAGTTCAGAGGGTGGAACACCAGTGGTACAATGCGGTGTGGTGCGATAGTGCAACAGGAAACGACTTAGCTCTTGTTTCCATGGACGACCGTCAAGTTTAGCAGCTTTCAGGGATTTGCCCAAGGGTTGCATGAAGCGTTCTACCTCAGCGTTGCCTTGGGGCCATTTGGGAGTAGAGAAGATTGCCTTTATTCCAAGGGCAGTGAGATAGCGTTGGTATAGCAACAAAGCTCGTTGTCGTTTAGGATCTGTAACGCCACTAGCCAGGAGAAACATGTCAAAGTCTGCGACCCAGTTTTTCCAACGTGTAGCGACGCTCGCGCCAAGTTCAGCGTCGGGGTTAAACTCGGGCATTGGGCGAATAGGTACTGAATGTGCCATGCTGACTGTTGTTAGATTGTTAGGTTGTTGTTCCATAAAATTTACTCCTCGTCGCCAATGTAATATCTAAGTACTAGGTATATATTTGTGCTATAGAATATATTTAGTATAACATAACGATATAGTTCTTATTGGTGTTTTAGTGTGTGTGTGTGTGTTCCTTCTACACAACGTATCCTATATATATATATTTAATTAGTTCCGACCGTATAGTCCTGGTGCCGAGTGAATGACATGACGTCATTACTATAGGCCCGACATTTTGCCAGCAATTTGGAAACAAAATAGTACGCATATGTAAATACGGCGGACAAAAGGCAGAATCAGTCGGAGCAGAATTCTATATGTAAATTATCAAAGGCAAATTAAAGCTCATTACTGTATGTTGCAGAAATACAGTTATTGTAACTAAAGTGCCTTGTCTTAAAGGACGTTATGAAGCAATCTATTTCGTTAAAAAAACACCAATTGCAACTCTCATAATGTACGAAATGCCATTTCAGACCGCCGGACTTTTACAAAGGTGTCATCCACATCCCCAATCTCACTCTTAACTTCTCTGCAAAGTTGAGAGGTCTGCGTGTGAATCACCACTTGCATGGTGAGACGCCTAGATGCAGCTTGGATGCAGCTTTGCCTGTAGTTGAAAATCTCCAGAAATATCGGTATATCTTAGAAAACATAGACGAGATCTTCATAGATTTCAGCTGATTCGTGCTAAACTTCGCCCTACACATAAATCAGTAATATCGATTGTCTTTTGGCTATTTATTTGTTTCGAAGACTTGCATATTTAATCCCCGAGCAGGCGGCGCGAAGCGCCGTGCGAGGGTACTAATTCCGCACGGCTAATTATACCCGCGGGTATGTGAAAACATAGCGGAGTGCAAAGTTGGCCTCCATTTTGTTTATGTCATGGACGGTTTTCGACGTTATGCGCATGCGCGAGTACAAACTCTGTTGAAATAATTGTTTTTCATTTTGAAAGGACGTATTATCGTATTATGCTGTTTTACAGCAATTTTTTGTTTTAAATTTCATTAAAAAGTTTACAAAAGTTCAACACGTTTTTTTTTCTCGATTTTAACTGGAAATAGGCCTGCAGTTTCATGAATTAGTGGCTGTTCAACCGTGAAACAAAGTTTGTATAATAATTGTTTTGATGTTTTGATGTTGATGCATGTCTTTGATAATTTAATCGCTGTTGTGCCGGTTTGGGTAAGTGTAAACATTTCAGTAGTAAAATTCCATGCCGTACTTCTTTGTGTTGTCGGTTTTATTCATATGTGCGGGCGAAATATTTAAGCCATTCTTAACTAGATAATTCACTTTAATGCAAGGCTTGCAAGCTGGTATGCACGAAATTGTAGAGAATGTTATCGTTCATCAGTAAGGCTAGCTCATCAGTTGTGTTTTTATGTTTGTTCTTATGTTTATGGTCTTAATACTTTATGTGGAGTTTTTATACTTCATCTGTTAAGAAAGGCGAGGGGTTGCTGCATGCATGTATTTTCTAGTTAAAGAATATCTCGCCACTCCTTGACGAGTAGCTGTCAAATACTGCCATTTTTTGGGTGACACGTGACCGGCCCAGACCAGGGCTTCCTCGTGTCTCGCCTCGTCCTCACACTGAAGCCCTGGGAACGAGGTTGAAACATTGCCTATTTGTGTGAGAACCTTCAATGTTTGTCAAGAACACTTGACAGGCTTTATAAATCTGATCAGCCAATCACGTTTAACCGGCTCCAAGCTGATTATACATGATCATCACAAACATTGAAGTTTCTCGGTAAAAACATTGTATTTTGTCATGAGAATAGACAATGTTTTATCTACGACTGTTCATCCTTTAAGGTGGCTCCCTACAGTTCTCTAAAATTCTAGGTATTTTGAGTATCGTTCGCTTTGAACCGAATTTATATTAGATACACTTAAGACAAGGCAATATGATCATTTCCAGGAATTTCTGACTTGTTTGACATGAAAATAAAATATTAATCTTGAAAATACTAATAAAAAACACTATTATAGGCATTGTATTAAATCCAGTGTTAGTTTACATTTGTTTTTGTTGTTAAAATCGGTGTGAAAACTTTCCAAAACATCGAACTACAAGTTCAACTTTTCATATAAAACAACTCATAACTGTTTTATTTGATTTAGCAGATAAAACGATACCTGTAAATTGAATCGATTGACAGAACTTATATAAGTTTCGGGAACAGTTCACTACTGTCCAAGAGTTAATAGAAGACAGTATCATTTCAATTTGACAGCTCGCAAAACAACAAGTTGAAAATTTTGAGCAATATGAAAGACAATACTGAACGTAAATACGTAAAAACACACTAAAAGATAGGTTAAACTAGTTAATAACATACGTACTGTTCGAATTCAGAAAAAATTAGGATTATAATGAAAAACTGGGGCTTTCTTTGTAGATAAAAACGCAAAAAAACTTCCCACTATGTTCCCACGGCTTGTTTCAATATTTTTGCCGAACAGTAAACACGATTCCACGCGCAGGTCGCGAGGATGAAGTCTGATCTATATAAATCGTATTTAAACTGTACTAACTGTAGGGAGCCACCTTAATAATAGTTGCAAGCGACGGCATTGAAGCGAATCGTTTGCCGGTTTGTCTAGTATAAATTTGCATAGTGTTTGCGTCAAGAGACTATCGCCATCTCACGGTCATCACGGGACAGGTAGTCCAGGGACAACGTCTCTGTGTCAGGGATGGATCTACTTTCAAAAGCATCGAGATATAAAAGTCGATCTCCCTCAGCAAAAATCTGATCTACGTTAGATGCGGTCTACTGTTGGATCGGCAAAGTCTAAGCAAATAATAACGCTGAAAAACTCATAAAAGAACATTGTCTTCCGCGTGAAATGTCACTATAAAACCGTTCGCTACCTTGTTGAATGCTTCCAGCAACAGATAAATTTACTGAATTTGACATGATTTCAATAAAAAAAACTTACCTAGTTCTTGCCTTCTAGCTACAACTTTTCGAACGTAAACACATGCAACATAATGCAACATTAATATGACTAATGGTGAAACCGCTGCACATAAATGCGCGTGCTCAAAATCCGATCCTGACAAACAAAAATCGAGATATATGTCAAGAATAGGGGGCTGCTCGCCGGCGCTCGCAGCAATTAATAATTTATTAATTTAATTTATAAGCCAAGTTCTGGCGAGATTCCTAATCTCCTTTGCGCCTCGTGTCCCATGCAGGACCCAGATGAATAATACATCTAAAAATCTCAGGAAAATTGTCGGCAAAGAATAAACGATTTTATGTCCGGAAAATTTTTCCGGCACCAATTGAACCATTTGTCGGGCGCCATATGTCAGGAAAAATTTTGATCAAGATTATACTTATAGTATAATTTCCAGCATGAGCTCCACTTTTGCCAATTTATTATATGAGTAAATTGTAATTAAGGTCCAGTTACACGTGCGATTTTTTTCTCGCGCCGGCAACGCAACGCCTTTGCAACGGGTTAAATTTCATTGCGTTACTTGCGCGAGTGAAGTGGTGACACGAGCAATGATAGCTTAGCCGCGTCGCAACTATTTGCATGAAAAAACCGGGGCACTAGTGTTTCGCAATTTGCAAACGTCACTGACAACAACATGGCGTCGAAGAAAAAACTTGTGGTCATAGCTGCAATGCTTTTGCCGGAAGAAGATGACGAGGAGGTTAAAGAAAAGAAACGTATTTGGAGCCGACATGCACTGGCTTCTAGATAAAAAAAACAAAGGTTATTTCGGTCAGCTTCTTCCCGATCTGGCTGCCCACGACACACCAGGATTTGAAAAATTTATGCGAATGGATTTTGATCATTTCAAAAAGATAGTTGATAATCTATCTGAAACGCTTTACAAGAAAGACACAATAATCGCTTCGATATTTGGCAGCGCTACAGCACGCTGTCCGCACAGAAGCGAATTTCATTGGCTTTCTTAAAATAGCCCATGCGTTTCCTGCTCAAACAATGCTTGGGTAATCCGATATTTTCGGCAATCGTTGCCGAAAGTTCAAGCATTTCAACTTTCCGCAACGATTGCCGAGAATATCGGGTTGCAATTGCGTTACCGCGCCAGATATGTTACACGGGCAATTTCATCACCGCGCGAGTAACGCAATAGGGAGTTTACCATCTGCGACGCGGCCGGCTCAACGACGCGGTCTAAATTTTAACTCAAGAATGAGCGCTAAGCAATTCGATTACTTTAATAAATATTTGACTCTTTCAAATAACCTTGCAAAATGTTATGTTCGGCTAAAGCGATGCAATGTTTGCTGTAATTTCGACTTTTAGTAACACCTCTTGTGTCGCATTAAGCTTTCGCGTTGCCTGAAAGACGTAATAATGCTTTTTTAACGTTGTGTTGAGAATGACAACGCGGTTGACAATACTCATGGGACCACAAATCATCGACAGTTTTTGTCTTGCATGACAAATTTCTTTGTAAGTTCTTTGTAGGTTTGCATGGCGATAAAACATAATACTATTGTTTGTGGAAACACCAAATTTCTTTGTTTTGAAAGCGCGTCGTCGAGCCGGCCGTGTCGTAGATCGTAAACTCCCTAATGAAATTTAACCCGTTGCGTTGCCGGCGCGAGAAAAAAATCGCACGTGTAACTGGATAAATTCATGGCAAATGATATGCATATGATAAATATATGCATATGATAAATTCATGGCACCTGACCCTAATCCCAACCCTAATTTTGTGAAAGTCGTGTATCCGGTATCCACACTGACTATGATTTTAGTAGCGGAATTTACACAGCTTCGATCATGTTATATACCCATTATCAGTAACCTTGCCCGCTCATTCCAGTGCTACAGTATGTATATCTATACTGAAAAAAAATTAATAAAAAAATACAAAATCAAAAAATACAAAAATGAAAAAATCAAAAAACACAAAAATAAAAAAATACAAAAATAAAAAAGTAAAAAATACAAAAATGTAAAAATACAAAAACTGTTTTTGTGCTGTCGCGTCTGGGCTGCCGTAATAAACGACACACTTTGTTAGGATCAAATTTCTTTCTCGTTTTTAATTATAAATATGCATTCTCTGATGTTTGCCATCCCTGTATACAGCTATTTTAATTAAGGTTGTCGCCAAGCAAAGCGAAAAAGTCGAATACGAGCGCGAAAGGCTTGCTGGGAATTTTTAGCGATTCCCAGCAAGCCTTTCGCGCTCGTATTCGACTTTTCCGCTTTGCTTGGCGACAACCTTAAATTAATAAAATAGCTGCATATTTATAATTTGTAACACATGATATCGCAAGGCACGTGCGTGATTGGCATTTCGCAGGAAGTAAATAATAAAATTCTGCTCTGATATGATATGATATGATTGGTCAATCTATAGAGCGAATTTGAATTTATTATAAGGGGCGGCACGAAAATTTATTAGAAGCGACTGCAGGCTCTTCCTGTCCGTAACCAGAGCCTGCCTCGCAGGCTATATCTATTAAGTTCTTAAGTTTTCGTTGCGTGTGACGGACTATGGCACTCCCCACATTCCTGACGTCAAAAGCGATGTTTGGACCGAAAATTATTATTGTTATTATTATTATCTTCATATTTATTCAGGATACCCACATCACCGAAGTGTTTTTCAGTGGGGCCGTGCAAAATAGGCCTAAACAATTTATAACATTTTGCTTTAGATCACCGCTTTAACGGTAGCTTGCTAGTGCGTCTTCGTGCATTCTCTGGACCTGGGTGTGTTCTTCACTGCTTACATAACGAATGCTGTAGATCAGTGAATTACTGGAAAACAGGAATGAGCAGCGCAGAAACGGAAAACTGTGAATTATTACACGTCCTTGCGACAGATCATCCTGAGTATCTTATAGAAGACATAAACTACGATTATTATATCTTGGTCCAACCAGTTCGTGTAAGTAACCAGATCGTGTAACTCAATCAACAAGAAGATTTATAGTTTGATCTCATTAATTTCCTGCAATGAAATTGGTTCTTTTTCAATTCTTTAGCCCAGGAATTGTAACTGTCTTACTTGCGACGGTGGAACATTTTGTCTCAATGAAAAGTGCTCGTGCACATATGACAACAATGGAAGGAGACAATGCACGGGTATTTATATAATTCCGAGTATACACAAGAGCGATAGGAGTTGTAGCAAAATGCGATGCATGCACCGCATGTATAGCTAGAATATAAATTTGCGTGATTAAGAAATGACTGTCTCGCTCAAGACCAGACGCTGGTCTGTAGCCCGAGTCCACTACTTTTTACCTGATTGTCTGTGTGCACGTTGTGAAAATAGATGAGGGGATGACGGCCGGGAATAATTTTAATTCAACTTATAATAACAACATTGTCATGGAAATTTTTAGATGGAAACTTTAAGATATTCGTAAGCAGTGCTGGAAAAGGATATGTCAATCCAGATGATCATCAACATGCCATCATTAAGATCAATGGTACAGATTACTCACAAAGTAAACGTGGGTTTAACTTCGTTGTTGTTGATGGTGAAAATGGTAAGCTCATACACAGTCACTTTTAATTATTTCATCTGCTAAAAATTTATGCAATCCTAGTAATTGCATGGTAAAAAGGTGTTATCGTTTTATACAATACAAAAAAAGTCTATGCACCTAATGCAGTTCGATATTTTCTAGGATATGTTGAACAAAAGATTTCTTTTGATACACATGGAGATCAATCCCAAGTACAAATGATGATCGAATTTTTATATGAAACAAAGTCAAAAATGAAGTAAGATCATGGAAACCGTATTGTAATGGTCGAGTATACTATATATATATATATATATACATATATATATATATATATATATATATATATATATATATATATATATATATATATATATATATATATATATATATATATATATATATATATATATATATATATATATATATATATATATATATATATATATATATATATATATAGGAGGAGGCCGTGACAAGCGGCCGAAAATATTTAATGTTAGTAAAAGACTAGTAAAATAAAGTAAAAACTGCAGTTCTTCATTCGTATAGCCATCTCTTGGTTTTCTATAATATGATTTGCTGGCTGAGGCAAGTTTTGAGAGAGAGAGAGAGAGAGAGAGAGAGAGAGAGAGAGAGAGAGAGAGAGAGAGAGAGAGAGAGAGAGAGAGAGAGAGAGAGAGAGAGAGAGAGAGAATATTACACGGCGGCGCGAAGATATGACTTTTACCTTCGAGTGGTGGAAACATGTGCGAGAAGACAAAAGTCTTCAAACCACCGTGTAATGTTCTGTTTATTATATAGTCCCAAGCAAAAATTTGTGAAATTTCACGCTCAAAAGCAAATTGGAAAAAGTCACGTGATCGATATCTTCACTAGTGAAGATATGGAAAATATCTCACTGTGTATTTTTCAGTATCTCACTCTCTACTATATAATAAATTTAGAATGTTAGACGGTTACGAGGAGATATGAATTTTATGTTCGATATGGATTTTATGTTCGATATTCGTGAGATATTGTTTTCACGCACGACAAGAAAATGGCCGACAAAATATTAGTTATTTTCAGGTAAAATATTTCGCCGAATCCCCCTCGCCGTCCAGGTCTATAAATGATAATCGATAATCTATATAGGATATCAATAATCTATATAGGATTATAGACCTTACGCCTAATGACGTCATAAACGTTAACGCGCGCGCTGAATTCTGGTCTTAGTAGTCAAATTCCATAAATTTCAAACAACAAAAATGGCGGGCTTGTTAGCTGGAAATACCGATACTTCATGTGCTTTTTTTGAAAATGAAGTCATTCTTGGTGAGCCAAGTTCTTCTAAGAATTCTTGTACGGGTGGTCAAGGTGATGTTCAAGCAAAAATGGCAGCCTCTGGAAAGGATGTATGCCGTAGCCAGTGAGTCCGCTGAAGTTCGGCCGATATCGCCTGTTGTTAATATGTTAGGACTAGACGAAGACGAAGTTGATTTAGACGACGATGCAGCAAGTTTTCCGCACAGCGAAACCAAACGATGGACACAATTACTGCGATAGATATTCCTCCGTTTACCCACCAAAAGTTAGAAAATAAAATGGTGAATAACAGCTGCACAATGCCTGACAAAGTAGCGCCAAAGGCTTATAGGAACATGAAGAAAGGATACGGTCTAAAATTGGAAAGAAGGTTACTGTATGTCAATAATGTTCAAGTCAAGGCAAACGTCCAATGTAAAATTCAACTATTTCTGGTTAAAGCTCGAGTTAGTGCATCCATGAAGAGTGTAAGTTACCCTGTTTATGTTCATTTAAACCAGAGAGTGGCGAAGTCGAGTATGCAAAGTGCACTTGTAAAGCAGGGCAAGGTGGCTGTTGTAAACACGTTGCTGCTTTGCTTTACACTATTGGATTTTGTTAACTTGAGTTTAAGTACGATTCCTGAAGACCTTACGTGTACACAAGTCGCTCAAAAGTGGAGTATTCCTTCTGGCTGCCGTAAACATAGATAGATAGATAGATAGATATTTATTTGCCCACAAAACGATATATATATATATATATATACAAAGCATATGAGAATATGATAGTATAAAGGGCTAGGGACCTTTGGAAATCCAGTTGGACTTTTACGTAAGGCCCCTATTTTTCAATAACCATGAATAAAGAGCAATATACTATTTACAAACAGAAATAATAGTGAAAAGACAAAAGAGATAATTATAGTTCAGAGTAATTTACAATATTTACATCAATCAGATACTAAATAATATAATTTTGCTTTTTTCTTAAAAGAGAGATATGAATTAGTATTTTTGATATCTTCATTAATACTATTCCACACTTCTTTTTGAAAAACACTACCTCTGGCCTCAAGCTGAAGGACAAACATGGATATTTCAACCAGTGCCAAGGGACAATGAACATTTTAGGACTGTCCTGGCTTGACTTTGTCATTTATACTATTCTAACACTGACATTCATGTCCAAAGATTGCATCGAGGCATTAGTCTCTGGGAGAAGAAAATGGTACCAGAGCTAACAGATTTTTATTGCTCATTCACTACCTTTTTTAAGGAATTTTCACTGGGGGTGGGGGGGGGGAGGGCAAAACAGGAAAAAGGCAAAACGAAAAATATGAGCCGTCGAGGTTTGGCTAACGCGCGAGTCTGAAGACTCGAATCTCAAACGTTTTCAATATGGATTGCGAAAGACGTGCGGCCAAGTTTAAACATTTGCATACACACCAACGATTATACTATCCCAAGAGATTACGTTAACAATGCCTCTTTCATAAAAAATACAAGACGAATTAAACGATTTCGCCGTCCTTGTTCGTATTATGCAAATAGCGTCGCTTGTTTACGAATACAGCGGTTGACATGTAGCGGTGACATCGAAGTAAATCCTGGCCCACGGCAAATGCACAAATGTCATGAGTGCGAGAAAACTATACGGAAAAATCAAAAGGAAACTAACTGTACATCATGCCTCGATCTGTTTCACGTAAAATGTATTGCATCCACAACTGATATCAAAACTATTATAAGTAATTATATTTGTTCCAGATGCCTGTGGACTGAATTGCCCTATCATTACATACAGAACGATAGTTTCTCACTAGAAGCGGGACAATCCTCCTCTACCGAGAGCGATACTTTAGACCTAAATAAACATCTCATCAACCACATGATTTCTCTCACCACCAGACCAAAACACCTAAAACTAATGCATCTTAACACCCAAAGCATGGTTTCTACATTCGACGAGTTAGTTCTAACCATGAAGCAATATCCTTTTGATGTAATCTGCATGAGCGAGACTTGGTTAAAAGACAATCCACTGTTACTTCAGCACGTAAACATACCCGGGTATAGTTCTGAATTCAGAAATCGTTATTCAATAAAAGGCGGGGGCGTCGCAGCATACATCAATGAATCGTTAAAGAATCGTCGAAGGAGTGATATCGAGAAGAAAGAACCCAGCCTTGAACATTTATGGCTCGAGTTCCCCGGCAGAAATAAACATAGCAAACTACTTGTGGGGACAATATATCGCTCAGAAAAAATGCTAAAATGTACGGAATGGCTGGAACGTTTTGAAAACCTACTCGGGTATCTTACGGCTAGCTGGGATGGTCTTATTTTGGTAACTGGTGACATTAATATTGATCTACTTGGACATTCGAACTCTGTAACAACCCAATACTTGGACATGCTGTCAACTTTGAACCTCTATCAGCACGTCCAAAAACCAACTAGAACAACATATAAATCCTCAACACTTATAGACCATATAATCTCAAATTCACCCACGCGCATCTCACATACTGATGTCTTACCTTGCCCATTGGTCAGTGACCATGACGCTATTTATGCCTGCATCAACATCAAAGTCACAAGATTTGAGACACGATACAAGTATATACGATGCGAAAAAAACTTTAATGATTTAAACTTCGTCGAAGACTTTAAAACGTTACCTTTCTCCGTAATCTATGGCGTTGCTGACCCTGATGAAAAACTCGATATATTAAATTCTTTAATTACAGAATGTATTGAAAGACATGCGCCTCTAAGACGAACCAAGATCACGAGACCCCCAGCACCATGGCTTAAAGATCCTACCATCCAAGATCTACAGGAGCAAAGAAACGTTCTCCAGTGCTCGAAGAAGTAAGCCAGTGCTCGAAGAAGTAAGGATGCCCAAGCGTGGGAACTATTTCGTTCAGCTCGCAACCGCCTCAAAGCATTAATTAAAACTGCTAAAAAGAAATTCACGCAAAAAATGCTTTCTTCTAAGAAACCCAAGGAAGTATGGAAAGTAATACATCGCATCTTGCACCCAGAGCCGCGCAGGATCACCTTTCACCCTGACAAACTCAATTCTCATTTTACTTCAACGGCAGAACGTACAATCGGCACTGACGTCAATGATAACAACAGTTACGACACTATAAGAAACATGATCGATTCGCTTCCCCCAGACTACGACAACGGCTTCCATATAAATCCTGTCACACTGGGCGAAGTTGTAAATGAAATACGTTGTCTACGAGGAGACTGTTCCACAGGACCAGATCACATTCCAGCAAAAATGATCAAAATTGTGGCCGAATATTTGGGTTCTCCATTAACCGATATCATTAACACCTGTATCGCGAATCGAAGCTTTCCGTCCGCGTGGAAGA